GGTAATTTTTGACTAAATGCCAGATATTGTACATGAAAAGTTGTAGAGCTTCTTGATGATGTTAACTCTGGCAGGCAGTAGGATTAAATGTGGACACCTTAAACCAATCATGGAATACATTGATTTGAGATTGGGTCTAAATCTATTTATCCTTATTCCTATGAGTTTCACTTGAAAGCAGGAGTGTTTACCAGGCCACCATGCTTTGTCAGGCTCTGAATGCTCATGTTTATTTATCTAGCCCTGTGGTACTGTCATTTAATTTGTTGAATTTCTTAGTTTCTTCGTGGCCACTTTTTGTTGTGCTTTTCTAACTCTTAGCCTGTTCTGTCTACTAATTGTCAAATATGTAGAGGCAAAAAGCAGCTCATTCTTCACTTTCTTTCACTCCAAGATCTTGGCATTTCAAGTTCTGGTTGCTTTGGTGGCCCTGAACATCAATATTTGTCACTCCACTGAGTCTACCGAAACCTCTACTCAACATCTCTGCTTTTTAATAGCCACTTTCTGCTCAGTTTCTCAGTACTATATTCATTATGCATGTGAGTCAACAAATGACTCAATGCGGAATGTGGACTTACCTCAGTGAGTTTTCCTTCTTTCAGGGATCTTGACCCTTTAAGTCCTGATGTTGCTTTGGTGGTTCTTCAATGTTTTCAGAATATATATATTTTTGAATTTTATTTGGCTCTTATAGTTGTTCTCATGGGAGAATTTTCCTTCAAGCTAGAGAATTTTCCTTCATGGCTGTAAATAGAAACCAAATAGCCATTTATAAAACGGTCTGCTCAGAGTTCCAAAGTTGAAACTCAACTCAGAGTGATTATGGCAACTGATAGTGTCATCCTTTTTAAAGGTAATGTATTGTCCTTGGTACTAGAAGAGCTGTGATGGACATAGAATAATAATAATAACCTACAAGTTACCTATTACTATTATCATCTTCATTTTTACAGATAAGCAAACTGAGGAACGTGGCATCTAAGTCAGTCACTGAAAATCATGTAGCTAGTAAGTAGCAGTGCTAGGATTTTAATCCATATGGTCTGGCTCTTGAGGTCACTCTTAACAGAAGAGTAGACTTTCTCACAAGTTATTATTGATAAAGTAATACAATAAGCATTATTGTATTATCCTTCAGAAATTCCATCATTATCCTTCAGAAATTCGTAGACTCCTTCTCTAGACTCCTAGAGACCTTGCACAGAGCTTGACACATGCAGATTCACAATACAAACATTTTAATTTCTGGATTAGAGCTGAGGTCTGAAGCTATATTTCATTGTTTTTCCCTGCTGCTTTTCTTATGTTGTTGTAGGAATTCAGCAACACATATAGCATTTGTGTAGATGAATGTTAGGGTGCAGAGTATGATTTTGCAGGCCAAAGAGCCCATTTGGGGCAAAATCTAGCGCTTTGCTTGTCAGGTTGTGATCTTTTTTTATTTTATTTTTTATTACAAAGGGTATTACATATGTGTCCATTTTTTCCCCCCGCCCTAGACAGTCCCCTAGCCTCCCCTATTCCCCAGTGTCTTATGTCCATTGGTTATGCCCATATGCATGCATACAAGTCCTTTGGTTGATCTCTTACCCCCCAGGTTGTGATCTTTACTGCAGCGTGAGGAAGGGGTTCCTTTTTCTTATTCAGGTATTGGGATACTCTGAGTTGCAATTTTTCCTTAACCCACCTCACAGGAGGAATTACCCATCTTTTTAGGCCAAAAACAGTTAAATAGGAGATGTCTAAACTCAACTGTTTGTTATCATATACCTCTGTTTATTTGGTGGTTCACCACATGGGAAATTTACAGATCTGATAACACTGATCTCAGAGTAAGGAGAAGTAAAATAGGACAGGGAACACTGGCCATATTTGTACTTCAGAAAGGGAAAAATTGACTCAGTTCCCAAATGCTACCTTTGGTGTCAGACCAAAACTTTTTATTGAGTAGATTTCCAGAGAAGAAACTTCAGGTGAAAGCAGCAGCAACAATTTCATTTCCTCTGTTGTTTTTACAGTATGAAATGCCCCAGTGTTTCTCTCCTAAGTGATGACACAAATTTACCCGATGTCAAGGAACTCCAAAGAATTGAGAACACATTCTATGTATTTATCTCACCGGTAGTTATAGCCTTTAAGACAACAGATACAGAACAATTTTGAGTGGTTTCTCTCTAGAAGGTAAATGCTTAGGTTCCCACACCTAATAAATATCTAGCTTTAGAAAAAGATTAAGGCAATGCATCGGCATAAAGCAATAGAAAATGATCTATTTTTGGTTTGAATAGAGCTAAACTGACTTCATGGGACAATTTAGGGCACCATCTGCTAAACAGCTTTTCACAAGTGATTTCATTTATCTTGGGATTATCTCAACCAAAAATTCTGGGTACAGCCAACCCCAAAACTCACCAAATTCTACACAAAGTTCCAACGGACCTTCCATATTATTTGGAATGGCTTTTTCTTATTAAGTTGCTTAGGGACATTAAAAAAAAAAAAAACCCCAAAGACAACACAGCCCAATATTGATCTCTATGGAGAAGCAATGGCCAAAATGTACTAGGTGCCAATGAGGCCTATTTATGATGATGAAATACAAAGCTATTTATGTTGATTTCCTCTCTTTCTGGAAATTTTTTCCCCCCCAAATTGAAGCCATTGCCTCTTAAATAAATATGTTTTTCTTGAAACAATAATGAACAATTAATCATTGTTAAAATAATGTATAAAGGGCAGAAAAGCACCTTTGCTAAGATCTTCTTTGCCTCCAGATGGTAACCAAATAGGCTACTATTTTTAGAATAATGAGGCTTTGTGTGTGGATATAATAATTGAGTGACTTCAGCTAATGGACAGTTTTATTAAATGGGGAAGCTTAGTACTTTTCTGGACTATGTGTAGGAAATTTTGCATCCATATATTACTCTGGCAAGGAGAGACTTGGGGAAGAGTGATCTTGCAGGTTACTGGCAGCAATTTTGCTAACATTTGTTGACTACATGTTATGGTGCCAGGGTCTGTACTAGGCAATTTTATATTGTAATTTCATATAATCCTCATAATAACCCTGTGAGCTAGATACCATTTCTATTCCCATTTTACAGATGAGGAAACTGAGGTTAAACAACTTCCCTAAGATAGTAAAGCTGGCATTTGAACCCTGCATGTCTTTGCTACTCTCTTGGGAGTGGGGGCTGGTTGAGGTAGCAGGAGGGGCTTATATATAACCTTCTTGGAAAACAGTTTGAAATATTCATCAAGAACCAAATAATTCCACTTCTGACTTCTGAGACTCTCACTTAGGGCATTAATCAGAGATTTGAACAATGATTATGGAAATATCCACTGCAGTACTGTTTATAAGAGTTTATGATATAGATCAGAATATAACTAATTGTCCATAATAGGCACATAATACAAATTATGACAATGGCACAGTTGGAACGTTATGTATCTTTTTCTTTTTATTGCTATCAGAGAAGAAGGAAGAGGGAGAGAGATAGAAACATCAATGAAGAGAGAGAATCATTGATTGGCTGCCTCCTGCATACCCCTACTGATCCTGGGGATCGAGCCAGCCAGGCATGTGCCCTGAAAGGGAATCAAACCATGACCTCCTAGTTCATAAGTTGACACTCAACCACTGAGCCATGCCAGCCGGGCACATAATCTATTTTTTAATAGTAATATTAAAAACATATTATTGGGAAAATGTTCAGGATTTGCTGTCAGGTGACAAAGAAAGATATAAAACTATACATGTATAGTATGATCATAATTATATTTAAAATCAGCAAAATGTTAACAGTGGCTATCTCTGGATAATGGATTACAGGTAATTTTTATGTTCATCTTTATGCTTTTCAGTTTAAAATTTTTTTCAGTAATGAGTATGAATTACTTTTATAATCAAAAGAAAATATTCTTTTGTTTAAACTAAAAAATGGTAAATTAGTCAATGCTACAATTTCCATTGTCAACAAAGCACTTTTTTTCCTGGGTTTAATTTTTTTAAAAATTCATTTTTCTCTTACTGAGTCTTATTTTTTTCTGTGCAACTTCTGAAGCATCACTGTAGAGGAAATTGTCATTTCAGGCAGATATTCTGTGGCAGAGTGAAGCATGGTGTCTACTCAAACCTGTGCCCTAAATGCTATCTTGCAGCTCCTCTCATGGGGCACGTTTAAGGTCCCTGCCCCTCCCAGCAGAATGTAAGAAGGCACCCAAAGACCCAGCTCAGAAAGCTCTACTCAAAGAGCCTTACAATTGGAGAACACGGTCAGGATATATCCTCTAAAACTGACACAAATCAAATTAACAGGAGAGAGCACCTACGAAATAAAGATATCTTCAGAGAAAATTTGTGAATACATTATTTTGTTTATCCAGCATATATTTCTAGAATATGTTTCACTTTAAAGATTCTATGTTAGATGGCTTGGGGAAAGTATTTATATTAGCCACGATGAGCCCATGTTGCTGAGTTTTTATTAGATGCCAGTGGGTTTCTCACTAGGAAGCAGAGAATCCCTTAGATTAGTTAAGAGGCAGGCAAAAGAAGCTTTCAAATCTGACTACAGTTAAGAGGCATAATAAGACCTCATAATAATACCTGCAAGGAGAGCTGAAGTCACCTCCCAGGTGGTCTTGACAAACCCCAGGTGTAAGTGGGAAGGGATGGGGAGGAATACAGACGTTCTAAGCAGTGTCTAATGAATGGAAGACTGAGACGTGGTGATTAAACAAGTAAAAGCAGACCTGGTTCCAGCTTTCTCCTTTTCCTTTTAATATTTTCAGACTAGAATCTCAGATTCCTTTGGTCAACATCATAATGAATCCAAACACCTCTGCAGATGGCCCACAAGCCCCTCATGGGCATGCCTCCCCCTAACGTGCATCTTCTGGTCTGACCCGACTAATCTCCACCTACATTTCCCACGACTTCCTCTTGTTCGAGCCTCCAGAGACATTGCTCTTCCAGCTCTGAAACATACCAGGCCTGTTCCCAGGTCAGAGTTGTTTGCACTTCCTGTTCCTTCTCTCTGAACCATTGTTCCTCTAGGTCACTCACGTGTGTCATCATGTCTCTTCCTCCTGGTAGAGGCCCCACCACCTTGTGTAAACTGCACTACACCTTCCCTGCACCCATGACTCTCCAGTCCCTATTCAGTTTTATTTTGCTTTACTAGCACTTACCACCACTTGATAGTATATTATATGTTTAGCTGTTTATTATCTGTTGTCCTGCATTAGAATGTACACTCCCTGAGAACAGGGACTTTGTCCATTTTACTCACTATTGTATTCCCAGCATATAGAACAGTCCTAGGTACATATAGAAGCTGAGAAATAGTTATTGAGTAAATAATAAATGAAGGGATGTACTTTTCTGGAGGGAAGTTTGGGAATATGTATCCACACATAAAATGGTACATAACTTTGACTTAGCCAATTCAACTTCTTAGATTTGTACTAAGGAGATAATTATGCAGATGAGAAATAATATGCAAAATAAGGTTAAACATAGGATTGTTTATGGTAATATACACAGAGAATATAAATATCTATTAATGGAACACTGATACAGGCAATTGACATTATGATATGTAGATCAGTACTTATCAACAAGGATGAAGATACTTGTTGAAAAATTCTACATCCATAGACCAAAACTTTTATTTTTTAAATATATTTTTTTTATTTACCATGTGAAAATACTCCTTTCATCTGGAACTCACTGCTAGAAGAGAATGGCATGGACTGTGGGTACAAGATATCTCATTTCCAAAGGACAATGTATGTTAGCGCAGGATATTAATGCAAGCATACATATTTTTGCAAATTTTTTTATATCTTGTTCTAATTCTTGAGACATTGTGGATACTTATTCTGTGATATTTCTACTAAAAATAGAGTAAGTTGACCTTTCAGTGTCTAAATGAGAAAGGAAAAATTGTAATTGGATGTCTACCAAGATTCATCTTGTTTATAAGTAAGAGGTTAGGAGACTGTCCCCATTTGGACTTTTGGGACAAAGAAAAAAAATCTAGTAATAACATTACTGATTATTATTTAATGTTCTCTTGACTAGATAGCAAAAGGGAAAAGCCTTTTTGAATTATATTTGTCTCTGAGTTCTGAATCTTTCATTAATTTCTCAATAAAAAGAACTAAATACTTAATTTATGGCCTGAAAAAGCAAAGGGAATTATTGGCCAAGAATCCCCCTAAAACACTTAGGGAAAGTACTGAGATAGTATACATTTCATTAATTTTTCTTTATTTGGAAAAAATGGCCATAAAGATGCCCTTCATTTTATTATTAAGGGTGTAAATATTGGTGTTATTTTAGAGACAAATGTAGCAGCAGTAGCTTAAATAAAATAGACATTTCTCTGGATTATTTTTCTAGCAATGTGGGTAGAAGAAGCCAGGGAGGGCTACATGGAGTTAGAGATCTAGGTTTCTTTCACTTTCTTGCTCCACCTAACATGCAGCTTCCACCTGGTGGGCCAAAATGACTGCTGTGGCTCCAGCCATCACATCTGCATTTCAGCTGTTGAGAAAGAGGTAAGTGGAAGGGGATAGCATAGTCTTTTCCCTCAAGGGTATGATCTCAAAGTTGCATACATCATCTACTCACATCTCACTGGCCAGAACTTAAGACACATGGCTATACCAAGCTGTGAGGAAGACTGAGAAATGTCAATTTACCTAGTTGGCCATATGATAAGCTAAAAACTCTATTCATGTGTAAGAAGATGAGAACGGAAATGAGGAAACAAACAAGGAGGGAAAAGAAAAGAGAATGAAATGATTTGGAAATTAAGTGGGAGAAAGAGAATGGGAGAAGAAAAAGACAAAGTTTATATTGATAAAGGTAGACTATATTTTACATTGTTTTCTCATTTTCTGTTTTCAGTTGATTTTCAACTTCTGAGTTTATTTATATCATTGCAATTTGCAATGTTACATAACAAACTTAAAACTTTGTTTATCTAGTCTCTGTTTATTTAACTCCATTCAAGGAATACCTATTTGTGAGTGCTTTCTGCAAACCTGAAATTTGGGAGGGGTCAGACATACAGTGCAGAAAAGAAAGATGAGTTCCTGCAATGAAAGAATGAAATGAAAGCATTCATATGGTGGTGGGACAGATACTGGCCAAGTAATTACAAAGTGGTTAATGATATAAAATGAGGAGTACAGGGAGCTATAGCAGCATAGAGGTGAGCACCCAGGCTATGTTGCAGAGAGAATAAGTTGTCGTATTAAATTTCTTTCTGACCGCGCCCGGCTAGCTCAGTCGGTAGAGCATGAGACTCTTAAATTTCTTTCTGAGCAAGATACTCACAGAAGCCCATTAGAAGAATTATTTTTCTGGACTGCATTGATCCCAAGAATGTTACACTAGAGGCTAAAGAATCAAGCCCATTTAATTGAACCCAATGGAACAACTATGCTTTGAGTATCCACTGTGTCTGAGATATGGGCCAGGCTCTGTGGGAACTACAAAAGAGAGCAAGAGATGATCTCCCATCTTAAGTAGCTCATGATCTAGTGAAGAGACAACAGTGCGACTCAGGGCATCTGTGACCAAGAGCTAAGGCAGAGATGCCCATAAAACCCAGGGGGAAGGGGGATAAACGTTGAGCCTTGAATAATGTGATTGGGTAGAAGGGTCTTTTAGGAGGACACAGCTGGAACCACAGGCAGAAAATGCAAGGTATATTTAAGACTGACTTTTAGTCAAATGCAGCTGATAGGGTGGAGGAGGGGCATGAGGGTATCATGTGAACCCAGGGGCATGCTTCATAGATACTTCTGGAAGGGCAGGGGGTAGATATGGTCACAATGCTAACAAAGAACTTTCTTTTATAGGAGACAGGAGTTTGATGATCAGTTACTCTGCTTTTGGAAGCTTATTATGGACAGGGGGATCTGATGACAAACTAGAGAGGAGGCTTTTAAAATGGGCCAGACAGCGAGGATTGAAGAGAGAGGCCTTGATGAGGAGTTTTCTTTAGACTGAGCATCTGACTGGGTGTGGGTGGGAAGGAGAAGCACGGAGGTGAAGAAAACTCTGAGGTTTAAGCCTGAGTCATTGGGAGGATGATGATGACATTTAGTGGTTTAGGGAAGAAAAGGAGGAAAGCAGCAGGGTGTAGACACTACTGGTTCCCTACCCAACAGCCATGGCCCTGTTCTTCACAGAGCCCTGATTTTCTCAAATGTCCAGTCCATCCTCAGCCCCCGAGGAGTCTCCTAATTGTTGTCAGCCCATCAACTCGAGGACTCCCTCTCCCTGCTGACTGGCATTGATCCGGGGTAGGGGAAAGCATGGCACTCAAACTGGCCCTCTCATATTGGGTGCATAGTTCGTGTTTGGGAATGCATACTCCATGTTTTAGGATGTACACAGCAGGGTGGGGTTACTAAACAGCCAGCCTGCAAAGGAAGCCTCAGGGAATCGAAAAGTATCAAGGAGATCATGGAGAGAGGCGGGATCAGGAATTCAATTCCATCATTTTCTTCTCTTTTTACTTTGTTGTTTACCTAATATTTTGGAAAGTTCCAGCATATGTGTAGATTTAACCCTAATCAGATGATCAGACTCTGAGAAGTGCACTATGGGGTAGAGGAGCCTGCTGGTTCCATACTGGTCACTGGACAGCACACACAGGGCACAGATCCAAAGACTTTGAAAACTGAACTGTCATTAGAACCACAACCCACAGAACGCTGGTTGGAACTTGTGGTCTGAATCCAACCAGGTCAATTGCCTGCTGAAACACAAATACCAAGATTCTCCCTAGGATTCAAACAAGACCCCAGGTCTCATTTCAAAATATTCAAACTGTCAAAGTACAATCTAAAATTACTCCTCATGCAAGAACCAGGAAAATATCAACTCACATGAGAAAAGATAAGGTACAGATACCCACACTGAGATGACACAGATTTTGGAATTGTAACTTAAAAAAATATGTTTATTGATTTCAGAGAGGAAGGGAGAGGGAGAGAGATAGAAGATCAATGATGAGAAGGAATCATTGATTGGCTGCCTCCTGCACGCCCCACTCTGAGGATTGAGCCCGCAACCCGAGGATGTGCCCTGACCGAAATCTAGTTCAATGCTCAACCACTGAGCTGTGCTGGATGGGTTGGAATTGTAACTTTTAAGTAGCTATTATAGAAATGCTTCAAGAAGTAAAGGCAGGCGGGCTTGAAATGAATGGAAAGATAGAAAGTCTCAGCAAAAAAAAATGAAGATAAAAAGGAACCAAATGGAAATTTGAGAACTGAAAATACAATAGCCAAATAAAAAGCTCTACAAAAGGACTGAATAGTCAAACCACAGATAACAGAAGTCATTACATTTAAAGACAAATCAATGGAAATTGTCCAGTCTGAACAGCAGAGAGAAAAAAAAGTTTGGCAGGTGCAGGAATCGAAGAGCTCTCTCTTTCCTGCGGGCGAATACCAAAAGGTCTCACATTTGTGGCATCAGAGTCCCAGAAAGAGAATAGAAAGAGGAAACTTTGGAAAAAATATTTGAAAGAATAATGACTGAAAATCCCCCCAATTTTTATAACAAGCAACAGAAATATAGGATAAGAATAAAGAAGAAGGCAAACAAAATGTCATAGAGTATAACCAAGGGCTGAAAAGGTTTTGAACATATGAATGCCCAGTAATGACACTTACTTACTTACTGTGTGATCTTGGGAAATTTTGCTTATCTCTCTAGTCTTAGTTTCTTCATCTGTAAAATGGGTAGAATGGGATCTACCTAAGATAAGGCTGTCATGAAGATTGAACACAATATTCTAAAAAAAAAGAGAGAGAGAGAGCACTTAGCACAATTCCTGACTTATAAGAAGTGCTGAATAACTTTTTTAAAAGGAGAAGAGTGGTCAGCGAAGATGTCAAAGATGATGAGGACTGAAAAGAGATCACAGGGTATTGCAAGAAGGAAATGATGATCTTAGATGATTTTGGCCAGAGCAAGAGCCAAGCTATTTTATTTTTTTAAGTATATTTTATTGATTTTTTTACAGAGAGGAAGGGAGAGCAATA